CGGCTCGGCCGCTGAGACTCGAGTGGTAGTGGGGGTCGCTCGCCGGAATCAGCCCGAAATGTGCATCTAGTGCCGAGCACTGATTTAAACGTTTGGGAAATAGTGTTTTTCTTGTAATTAACAAATTTTATCATGCGTCAAGTTAGCAGACAGCGATTTTATTTAATGTGTTTTATGAATGGAATCGATTAGAAATTATTTGGGGAAGACGTCTTCATTATTATTTTCATTTAGGAAAAGTTACTATTTGGTAATACACCTTGCTTTCCAGCAAGGACATAGTCAGACACTGTTGGTGCGTTCGGGGAGACGCTAATAGCGCTACTCTGTCATTCTATCTTCGTTGTTTATTAGACGTAAAACAAGGATAGAATGATACAAATAGCGCTAATAGCGTTTCCCTGAACGCACCTTGTGTAACACAGTGAGTCGTTTCATCCTTGTTTAACGTTAGCAAACAACAAGGATAAAACGACTCACTATGTTACACAGTGTCTGATATTTGTGCTTGCTGGAAAGCTCAATAGATTTAGACATTACGAAAACGAACAAAGCCCGGGTGTAGTATGGGTGTAATAGGTGTAGTACAATGAATATAGGGCGCGTTCCACTTAACGTTCGCAACGCTCGCGAGCATCATTTCATCCTTGTTTAATATTTGTAAACGATAAGGATGAAATGATGCTCGCGAGCATTGCGAACGTTAAGTGGAACGCACCTATAGTAAAATCGTCAAAAATTAATCAATTAAGCCCGGATCTAATTATGCGTAGTTATGAAACTGGCCAATCACAGTCGTTTCATTCTTCCGAGGAACAGCTACGATTGAACAATTTCATAACTACGGATGTTATTAAACCCGATTAAGCGTGCCGTGTAGCAGAGGTCATTGAAAAGCAGATTCGCAAATTAGATGTTAGCATAGGTCTGTTCACGTTGCATGAAATCCCCAAATATTTTTGCACTTAAAATGATAGGTATATACGAGGTGTGATCAAAAAGTAAGGTGACTTTTTGAATTTCGCGCGCTCTGTACACTCTAATTTAAAAAATTTTTTTTTGTTGTGTTGGTACACTCGTCACGATCATATGTTCACAGTTTTGACTATATAGCATGTTTTGTTTTTATGTGAGAGGCATAAAGGTTAGACTCGTGTTTGCGTGCTCGGCGATTTTTTGCTTTTGAAAATAATGGAGCAGAGAGTTTGTATTAATTTTTGTGTAAAAAATGGTATTAAGTGTTCAAAAACTCTTGAAATGTTGACAGTGGCGTACGGTGAGTCAACTTTGAGCAAAAAAAATGTTTATAAATGGTATAAGTTATTCCAAGAGGGCCGAGAAAATGTTAACGATGAACCTCGCTCTGGACGCCCCAGCACGTTAATGCACCTGCGCACACGTCGTTACTAGTGAGTAGTTTTTTGGCCAAAAACAATACTATCATCATGCCTCAGCCACCGTATTCACCAGACTTGGCCCCCTGTGACTTTTTCCTCTTCCCAAAATTGAAAAGGCCCATGAAAGGACGAAGATTTGCGACGATTGAGGAGATTAAGGCTGCATCGCTGGAGGAGCTCAAGGCAATACCCAAAAGTGCATTTCAGAAGTGTTTTGACGACTGGAAAAAGCGCTGGCACAAGTGCATTGTATCAGAGGGGGATTATTTTGAAGGGGATAACATAATTTTGGATGAATAAATGAATATTTTTTTATAAAAATGAAAAGTCACCTTACTTTTTGATCACACCTCGTATTTGGCCTTGAAAAGAGCGAAAGCGAAGATGCCTAGTGCCAAAAGTGCAAGCAATGCGAACAGACCTCATGTTGCAGTAAATGATTGGATGGAAAAAAATTACGACCAATATAAAAAAAGATACAATTAAAATGAATTTTGTAGTCTTCCCCTAATAATTTCTAATCGATTCCATTCATAAAACACATTAAATAAAATTGCTGTCTGCTAACTTGATGCATGATAAAATTTGTTAATTACAAGAAAAATACTATTTCCCAAATGTTTAAATGCTTTTCCCAAATTTCCTCAAACGATTCCCAAATTATATAGACATAAATAAATCAGAAATATTCAATTTGTTTGCTATCTTGTCAGTGGTTGTAAACTAGGCCATTGCTTGAGATTAATGGCGAATTCGATTGGAAGCACTAGTGCGCACTGGTGCATATTAAAGCCATTGTACACTGATTTAATTTGAGTATAAAAATGAAATGCAAATATTTCGAATTATCAAATACATATTTTATCTAATAGTACAATAAAATGTATTGAGTATTTCACGATTTAATCGATTTCTATGTTTATTTATAAACATATTTTTACATTATTTTGTGTA